GTGGCTTTTCTGTTTCTGTTTCAGTTTGACTGTGTGTGTGTGGCCGTGTGTGTGTGGCGTGTGTTTGCTTTCTGGGAAAAGGGTTATCTATAAATATGTTCCTGGTTAGCCAACTGTTCAGCGATCAATTAAATACTTTGATTAATTTACCAGCTCAGTTGACATTTTTTTTTTGGGGGGGGGGGGAACCCTCTTTACTGCCCCGACTTAACCAGTCTACTCTGCCCACTTGTTACTAATAAAACAGACCCAAGGGTGGCTTAATGATTTGTGGTACATTTTAATTTACACAAGTAATGGATTTTAAACGCACAAACACATTCTCCCTTGTTCTCCCACTCCTGCTCCCAGTGTTATTTCTGTGAATTCTTGCAATTCCTTAATGAGCGGAAAGTGAGATCCATATTAAAGTGAGGAGTTGATATGAGTGACGTCATTGTGCTGATTCTTGGATTGTCCAGAAATTCAACATGTAGATTCCCCTCCCAAATGATGGAATAAAACACAGTGGCAATTTTGTTTTTGAAATGCACAAAGGTTATGTAAAATTATGTGAGGTTTTTTTTTGTAATTGTAAAAATAAATGTTTTTTTTCTAAATCTCTAGCATATCAAAACGCTACTTCTGAGTCCTTGTTTTTTTACCCCTTTTTCTTCTTTTCCAGCTGAGAGGGGCAAGAGATAAAAACAGAATGCATTCCAGTTTGAGGATAGGGGCAAAGCATCCTTGTGAAGGTTCAGTTACTTACACCAGGCCCTAAGGCTATCAGGTCATCCTAAGAGTCCTATATCATTTGCTCATGATGTATTGTATTTCCAGTCGGGTTCCTGGGCTGTCCAGTTGATACTGATCAATGCTATGAAAACAGGGCTCATTTTTCTGAAGGCGCACACTAGGATTTTGCTGCAATAGTTTCCATATGGATTATTCCTCCATTATGTAGTAAAGGTACAAACTATGCAATCCTCCTCTGAAGGATTCCTATTAAAAGCATCTGGTTTCTTCTACATAGTGTCAGTAAACATATTTTTTCTGAACTTTTCATTTTTGGGGTGCAGCCCAGTAAGTCCTCTGGAATTCAGTGGGACATCCTACAAGAGTGGGAACATGTAGGACTTATATCCCAAAACCAGAGTGGTGTAATTTACATTTTTGCATTCCTACATCTTCTTAGTTATTTTGTTTTCAATTATGGCCTGGGAATCAAGGACTACTGTATATGATTCTTCAATCCTGTAAACTACATCCACAATATTATCCTATGTTGCCGGGTTGAAAGCAATGGAAGAAGCAATCCAATGACTATATTATCCTGTTTATCAGTGTTTAAAACTAAAAGGCATATATTCTGTATTTTCCACAGTTGTTTTTCTTGCTATGGTTGTTCAGTTCCTCTTATAGTGGAGGCAACCGAGAAAAGCAAAGCTATGAAGGCCTTTGGCAAATGGAGAAGATAAGCTCTACCTTGCCTGGAATTCTCAACTGAGCCTTTCTGCTTCCCATCTCCACCTCCAACCCAGCCTTTTCTTCCTGATTTCTTTCTTTGCAGAAGCTGTGGTTTTGGATGTGTAGGCTAATCACCTTTAATTTTTCATTTGCTTGTTACAGATGTCTATCTCGTTGCTCTCAAGGTAATCTAGACAGAGGCAGCTGAAAAGCCCTGCATCTTATGCCTTAGACATCAAAGCAGGCTCTCACAATGAAAGTATTTCTTCGCAACGGTGAATCTTCATGGTGAGTTAAGATTTCTATAGCAGTAGGCAAGTCATACTTTAAAAGATTGAAAAGAGAAGTCTGGAGCCCATCTAGCCTTTTCACAAGGGGGACATAATATTTAGGTCTAAGAGATTCTTCCTGCCCTCACCCACCCCCCAGCCCTCTAACAGCCCTCCCCAGCTGGCCCAACCTGGTCTTTATTGATTTTGTTTGGGCTTCCAGTCCAGTGCATATGTGTGTGTACATGTATCAGAGAGTGTGAGTGTATACATCTATTTTTACCTCTACCTTTTTCTCAATCCTTTGTGTGTTTGTGATGGACATGGAATTTCCTCTCCTGACCGACCTTCCGGGGCAAGGAAAACCCCACGCGAATGGGAGGCCTTGTTCCAACCCCATATTCAGAATGGATAAGAATGTCAGAAAGAAAAATGGGCCTGCTTGAATCACAGCCCGTCACTTCACTTTTGTTTCCCTTCTTCTGGGCCCTGATCAGAGACGGCCTTTGGGATTTGATGGCGACTTTTCTAAAGGCGAGGAAATGGGTTTGAAGGAGAGGGAAGAAAAGGAGAAAGGTCTAATCAAGACCGGCCTTGTTCAAAGGCTCTGATTTGAGGTGGGGGGTGGGGGTGGAGTGATGAGGGGGGCTGCAAGGGTGGAAAGTGTGAGCTTTATGGTGCATCAACATGCCACGTTAGGATCGCTATGGTAATGAGCAGTGCAAAAGCAGGCACCCTTGAAAGGAAGGCACACTCCATTCGAGACAGTCTATTAAGACACATTTGTGCTGACCTCTGGTTTTCATGCTAGCTTAATGCATTCAGTCGGCTCTTCCTCCATCTCGTCCCCTTCAGCTTGCCAGGCCGGCTTGCCCTCTCGAAGGAAAGCCTTTGTGGCAGAATCTTGAGCCTCTGTGATTAAGAGAAATGGGGAGGAGGAGGAGGAGGAGGGGGCTATCGAAGAGTTACCAATATTAGATGGAACCTTTGCAGCTGTAGAATGTGGTGACATTGTCACCATAGAAGTTGGTGGCATTATCTCCAAGGCAAGGCATTTTAAGATCAGGGATACAGCTCTCTGAAAACAGCTTTAAAGCAACACCCCCCCCCCCCAGGCTCAAAGAAGAGGACTGTTGCCAGCAAGTCAAGTCTGGGACATTTTCCGCACAGAGTATGTTCTTTAGTAAGCTCACATATTTCTGCTCCTTTATCCCCCTTTTGAAACCCTTTTCCAAGTATCTTCCCACCGGTCCTGATAATGTTTAGCATTTTTTCTACATGGAAGTAGGACACTTGATTGTTGAGCAATGATATAGGAATATTGGTCTTTTCCCATATTTAAATATTCTATCCCTTAAATTGTTTGGGGGGTCCAGTTCTGTTTAGTAGTAAGATTTTTTTTTAAAAAAAGATAGTCATCCCTAAATGCATATACTGATATAGCTATATATTTCATAGACCACTGTGTATCAGTATACAGTTCTACTATGTTGAAGCAAAAGTTAAAACAGAAAGAGATGCCTCTTTGTTCAGTTTTACCAATAAAGACCATGTGATCTTTAGAATGCCCGGCATTTTTTTATCCTTGAAAGAAGCAAGTAAACAAGTCATAAATCACAGAGGTGGTTTTAAAAAGGGAGTCCTGTTTTGCCAGGCTCCAGAACTTGACATTGCCAAGTCTGAGGCCATGGCAGTGGGTATATGATCCCAAGAAAGTTAGAAGCCCATGTTCCGGTAATTGTCTCAGTGTTTATTTTATCCAAGTACTCCAATGAATAGGGGAAAAATAAACACACTGGGAGGAGGGATACAAACAGTTGAGTCGTCTTTAGTGCTAGCCCTTGTGGCTGAATAAAAAAGGATGGGCCAATTGCTATTGAACTGAGAAATCTTTGAAGTGGGAAGTTATTATCTGAGAAATTCCTTTTCGTCGTCCTAACAACGCTTATGAAACGTAAAAAGGTCCTTTGTCAGCGATTTGTTCTCCCCTCTGTCAAAGTCCCTCTGCCCCGTTAGCTGGGACCGTTTCTAAAGAGATGAAACCAACCTTCTTTTAAAGATAAGGTTGAGATGGAGACAGAAGACGTCCTCACACACAATCAAATACCCATGTCCAGCTAGTTCTGTCTGCCACTGTGTAGGTGAAAGAACCATGTGGCTCAAGGGTGTGGAAGATGGAAGGAGGGGGACAAATTCCCCCCCATTCTCACATACATGCTGAAGAACACATTTTTTTCCATTCAGAACTAGTTATTTATATGAATGGCCTCTGTTCTCTGCACAGTATCTAAATTTTGGTGAACAGCACCAGTTTTTGCTATTAGATCTGTGACTTTTTACCATTTCATTAGACTAGTTTAATAGCTCATACACTTTTTTTTTACACAGGCTGCCTCTGGGATAATGCTATTAATTCTGGCCAGAAGAACACTTTTTAACAACACCTCACTAAAAATAGCAATGCCTCCCAAGCAAGGACTTTCATAATTTGCAATATTTTATAGTCAAGCAGTAGAGAAAAAAAAGTTTCATCTGGACTCCGCTTGGCGTGCACTTCACAGCTGAGAAAAGCAGCAACAGACTGATTACATTACTGACAATTGATACTCATCTGTAAGCCAAAAGTCAACAAACAAATTCACACATTGCACATTTGGTAATTTGCATTTTTACCCAAACCATTCTTGAGACTTTGGTTTTAAAACTTTGCATTTTAAGACGTTGGTTCCATCCTGGTCCAATGAACCAAGCTATGAACTTAGTAGCCTTTCTGGATTTGTGCCAGACCAAGAGCTGAACTATAAGGAAAGGATTAACTGGTGCATATGAATTAAAAGATGTTTGGTTTTTGCATCATGGATGCACTTGGGAGTTGTAATTCACAAGCAACCCAAACAGAACTTAGTGAAGCTGACGGCTCTTGGATGCCAGCCATTTGTTCCACAATCCCAAATCATAAATGGAGAGAATAAGACTGACTAAAATTGATTTCTTCATTTTCAGCAGCTAGAAATTTCTGTGGGACTCTAGTTTGCACCCTTAACAACAACAACAATAACAACCCAACATGGTTCTAGTTAAACAAAAGACATTTACTTGAATAAAAATGTGAAGGATTAAAGTAATCTGTATTACCCAAACTCTCTCTCTCTCCCTCCCTTCATCCCTCCCCCCGCGCCCCCTCCCTCCCTATCTATCTATCTATCTATCTATCTATCATCTATCTATCTATCTATCTATCTATCTATCATCATCTATCTATCTATCTATCTATCTATCTATCTATCTATCTATCTATCTATCTATCAACCCAGATTGCTTCAAAAGCTTAGGCTTTCTGGATTTGAAAGCAAAAGTATTTATTCAAGTTCTGCATGATGCCATTTTTCTTTTCTTTCCCCTTTTAATCATTTTAAGAACTTTATCACTTTATCTCATCTGCCTTTCTCTCCCCTTTTGCCTAAATGGACCACTTCTGTAAGTATGCCTTTTGTTGGTTTATTTCTATACTCTACATCATTTTTAAAGATGATGCCTGCGACCTGACACACCTTTATTTGGATGGATGTAAAGGCCACTGGATTCAATTGAGTTCCTTTTTCAATAGTCGTTTAGAGAAATATGCCTTAATATCCCCCACACTAAAAGTCTACACTGTAAGAATGTAGGTTTTGTACTACATGTGAAATATAGGTCGTGAAAAGTCTGTTTTGGCCTAGAATCGATGTAATGAATGTTTGTAAAATAAACATTAGATGAAAACGTAATTTAGTGTCAATCGTGTTTATAAGGTTTTTGTATTTTTAAAATATAACAAAATAAACCCTGCATGAGAAAAAGACAACTTGCTTCCTGGTTACTTAATTTATATCTATTTATTTTCCTTTCCATTTCTTTTTTTAAAAATGAAATTCAGTAGAAACATTTGTCTCAAAATTAGAAAGGGTGATCAA